TCAGGACAGAATGCAGAGTTCGATTGCGTACTGTGTTGACCTTAGAGGTTCACCTTCTTCCCCCTCCCTGAAAAGAGGTCCAATCCCTGTCCACCTTAAATTTCACCACTAATCTTGTATGCATTGCGAGTTTGGCAGTGATCAGTGAGGCTCGCCTCATTGTATTTCGCTGTACTATGATGATGGTGAACCGTAAAGCACAACTAACCGCACACAGGCGCAGTACACCCTACCTTCCAGTTTCAACCGACCAACGTGGGTACCAATGGCGTTTCGGTACTGTGCCGCTCGTACCTTGGAAATGCAGTCGGTTACTTGTGTGGTTAGCAGACGTGGGTTTCATAGTCGCAAAACCCTAGCATTTAGCGACGGAAACCAGCAACACAAGTCCAGGGCCATTATCAGCATCATCATCGTACAGTGAAATACAGTGAAGCGAAATTAACTGATCGCTGTCAAACTCACAATGCATACAAAGTGGTGAGCCACATAAGCCACGGTCAGATTCGTTTAAGATTGCCCACATTCGAAGCACGTGAGGTCAACGATTCAAGCTCTAGCAAAATTGTGCTAGACCGAAGTTTCTGGTCGAATGTTTTTTGCACAGGAAGATAGCTATACGAAACAGGTTACTGATATTGTCTATCTGAACATGTTAACACCTTCAATGTGCCAGTGGTTGCATGTTGATCTGGAACGTCCTCGAACGGTTTAGGGTGTTATCACCAGCGAAATCCACTAGTCAGATAAATGAACGGAATGCTTCTCACCTCGAAATATTCAGAATTAGCTTAAAATCACCTGATTTTCACCCCAACATCGCTATGCTTGGGAAACAGCTTCTCGCCGGCGAGGCCAGATGATATACTGTTTTCTTGCAACATAGATTGAAAGCTTTAATGTCGAGGAAATTGGGCTAGATTGAGACTGGAAAAGAAGCCACATTTGATACGCCATGTACGAAGCCAAAACACGAGAAAAATAATGAACTGGGTGCTCGATTAACTTGTGAAAATTCAGTTGAACTCAAGTTACGTATAACTGCCGGAAAGTTTGCTATAACCAAGCTACGCCCCTTTCACATAGCCCTAAATGCAGATAGCGTGCTTATTAGGAACAGTATTCTACAATGACAGCGACGACTGGGAAGACCAGTTAATCAAACAAACTGTAAAACATGATGCGTTGCAGATTAGCCATACGTTATAGATCCCCAAATCAACACTGATAACAGCGATGTACAAAAGCAAAGTACGCGTTGCAACCGAATAGCGACAGAAATTTCATCAACGACTGCAGAAAACAAGCTAAAGGTCACACCACACGTCATCTGGGTTAAGCGAACCACTGCGGTGAGGACAGATTGTCATCGGATGATACATTTCAAATTCATTGGTCACTGCTGTTGTAACAGGATTGACGACCGTTCCGAAAAACTCAAAGATAATTCCGAATGCGGCTTAATGAGGACCCATGTACAGAGGGTGGGGGTTGCCATTTCAATAGTTTACTCGAAGTGTTCTTGACTCTTGCGAACGCATCTGCACACTTTTCGTTTGAATTCGTTGAAATCTTCCCGGAATTCCTTCTATAAATCAAGCAGTTTGATATGGTGAAACACGAACTTACGGCTGCGTCGACATTAGCAGGACTATCTGGGTTGGGTTCAGCTAACATCGATATGACAGATGTGATTATGGTTTCGACCGTATGAACTGGGAGCCACCGCTCGTCCGGCCTCTCGTAGCCCCATCTGTCTTCTCCAGGCTCATGTAGGATAGAGATGCATACATCACCGTTCGGAGCAATATTGGGATGCCAGATCTCTGTCACAAACCTCATTTTGGGAGGACGATTGGGGTAATCTTGAGGGAAATCAAGCTCGGCGCGGAAGTAGCCACCCTCACTGACAATGACAAATAAATTAAAAGAAACATACTATAAAGTGTCCGGGGGTCCCATAATTAGCACCTGCCACTTGAAAATATTTTCATCGTCAACTAATCCAGCAGAGAACCCTTCGGTGGCGCTCTTGCTGAGTTCTATCATTAAGTACATATAGTGGTGCATATGAAAGCGGGGATGGTACAATCCTCTCTGGAATAAACTTACCACATAACTGCTTCTTCAATAGCAGTGTAGATGCAGTATTGCACATGTCAGCTTTGCATCGGCCACCGCAGAATATTCCCGCTTGCTAGCACGTACCGCACCAACGAAGATAAACAACTTCGGATCGCGTTACGTCCAGTCAGGTATCGTAGGACTAATAGTGGCCACGCCCGTCGAGCGTAAAGGATTCCCTCGGTGGTGTATTCATGAAGGCGTGTGAATGCTAAAGACCATGTTACCATTCAGGTCGGGTTATACTTCACAAAACGACCGCGCGTGGTTCGAAATTTTTCCGTGGGTGTTGAAAAATTACTAGATTTAAAAATGTTCAGTTCAGTTCAGTTCACTGAACTGAACTGAACTGATTATTGGAAGCAAAGGACAAATCAAGAGGCTAAACGTCACAAGTTGGAGTGGCTTGAGTAAGCAGGAAGTAAAAATTGAAGCCGGTGGCATATACCCTGCCATTGTGAAACCACTTGCCCAAATCTTAGCAGATCCCTCAAGGAAGCTGTTACAAATGTCTCTGGAGGAGGGTGTACTTCCGGGCAGTTGGAAAACTGCCGTTGTGGTGGCGTTACAAAAAGGTGGTGGTAGATCGAATCCACAGCACTATGGACCGGTTAGCTTAACTAGTATTCTATGCAAGTGCATGCAACGCTAATCAGGACTCATGTCTTTTAGAGCATGTATTACTTAGCGCAGTTTTAGTATACCAGTCTTCTTTTTCGTTATCCGGCGTTTCTATTCTCCGAAGTAACTAGTTTTGCATCGTTTTTCCCGGTTTGTCTTTTACCCAGAGTTAACCTTCCTAGGAGTATCACGAATTTATATTTGTAATCTTTTTTCATTGAATTATGTGGCGAGTGTCTTATCCGTGTTTCATCAAAGGGTGTAGCAAAGGGAATTGCATGTGGTGTGTGCAAGAGATGGGTCCATCCAAAGTGCTCCGGTATCGGTGCAGAAGTGTATTCATTGTATTGCCAGAGTAAGTGGGCCAACTGGGTATATATACTCTGCAAGGAAGCAGCATGGCTTGCGTTTCAACGTGAGTCGTGGAAGGTAGAAATACCATACAGAGAGAACATTCCTGAAAGTTCAGGAACAAAATCGCTGCCCGCATCCGCAGCAAGGCAATCATGCGCAGAAGTTGCCAGCATTCTAGCGGGAAAAGTGTTATCGGAACATCCCAACAATATCTCGGTGGCATTTTCCTCTACCCAAGTACGACAGGCCGTCAGCGGAGTAGGAATGAAGGTAGCTGGGAAGGTGCAGCAACCGGTTAAGAAGCCTCGAGCGAAGAAGCAGGAAAAAGATTCGGAAACCA